TTTTGTGTTTCTCTAGAGAACCCAATCCAACACAGCCCCTTAGGGTTTTCTTGGCTGTCATCTTTACGGGAACAGATTCCCAGGTCTTTCTGTCATGGAACAACTGAGTGGGTTTGAACTGGCAACTTTTGGTTAGCAGCTGAGTGGTTAAGTCTTGTACCACCAGGAGGACTCCTTAATTGCCATTAGGTATTCTGAAATAAACTTTCTTAACTGGACTTTTAGCTATAATTCATATAATTTTGTGATTGCTAAACTAATTTATATAATTTTATGATTGCAGTCATACTTAAATCTGTGCATGCCTCTTGGCATGTAGTGTGAGTCTTGGAGACCCAAAGTAGGAAAGGACGCCATGAAAACACAGGAATTTGGGGACCTATTCAACAGGGAATGTCTCTGAAGCCGTGTGGAGGCCTGTGAGGCCCTTTCTGCTCTCCTTCCCTCCCCTTTGGCCAGCTCCTCCCACTGAAGACAACTCCATATTCTATTGACTCTGGTTGGCAAAGGAGGACCGATTGACTAGATCTGCTGAGTGATGGCGAGAGACAGAACAACGCTTGGATGTGAAGAAAACAGCAAATAGAGTCTTGGTACTGTTGCTGAGTGTTGTTGTTGTTAGTTACTGTTGAGTTGGGTCTGACGCATGGCAACCTTATGTGTAGTGGAAGGAAGTATTGTCTGCACCTGAGCCATCTTCATAGCCTGGGTATGTGAAGTCCATTGGAAGCATAATATTGCATAATAATAAAAGAATGTTGTAGAGTGATAGAGCAGTCCTTTTCATTTGTCTCCGAATGTATTTATTAAACGTTTATTTTGCACCTTCTCACTCTGCTGCACTGGTGAGAGAAAATAAGATAAAACAAAATCCCCCACAGGCCTCACCTTTGTGGAGTTTACAAAAGAGGACTCAACACAGCAATTAAGTAGTTATTCAGGTATGTAAATCATATATAATCTCAATTTATGATTGTATGATATGAAATATAGGTTAGATGTTTCACAGTGGATGGAGCAAAGATTGAAGTTGTCAAGGTCTTGGTTCTGCAATCAACACTAATGGAAGCAGCAGTCAAGACATCAGACGATGTATTGCATTGGACAAATCTGCAGCAAAAGGCCTCTTCTAAGTGCTAAAGAACAAAGATGTCTCCTTGAAGACTAAGGTGAACCTAACCCAAGCCATGGTATTTTCAGTCGCCTCTTATGCATATGAGAGCTGGACAATGAATAAGGAAGACTGAAGAAGAGTTGATACTTCTGAGTTGTGGTGTTGGAGAATAATGCTAAGATTACCATGGTTCTAAAAGGACTAACAAATCTGTCCTGGAAGAAGTGCAGCCAGAATGCTCCTTGGAAGCAAGAATGGCCAGACTTCCTCTCACCTCCTTTGGTCATATTGTCAGAAGAAACCATTCCCTGGAGAAGGATATCATCCTTGGTAGAGTGGAGGGTCAACAAAAAAGGGGAAGGCTCTCAACAAAATTGACACCGTAGCTGCAATGATGGCCTCAGGTATAACAAGGATTGTGAGGCTGGCACAGGACCGGGCAGTGTTTTGTTCTACTGTGCATGGGGTCGCTACAAGTCAGGGACGACTTGATGGCACCTAACAACACACAGAACAATATATAAATGTTGAGGGTTAAGTGTTATTAAGGAACATAATACAGGTGCCATGAGTGAGGAGAACAGGAGACAGGATGGCATTTAGGTGGGTCATGGATTAACAAGCAGAGCCACGCTAATCCAAAAACTCTAAAATCCTTTGCTGTCAATTAGATTCCATCTCATGAAGGCTGTAATCCTTATGGAAAGAAGCTTTGGTGGCACAATGCCTAAGGCATTTGACTTCTGACTAGAAGATTGGAGGTTCAAACCCACTGGCCACTTTGTGTCAGGAAGACTGGGCAATCTACTTCTGCAAAGATTTACCACCTTGGAAACCCAAAGTGGGTCGCTATGAGTCAGAATCGACTTGATGACAGTGAGTTTGGGGTTTTTTTTTTTTATTATTTTTTTGAATCTTCATGGAAGCAGACTGCCACATCTTTCTCTCGCAGAGCAGTTGGTGGGTTTGAAGTGCTGAGCTTTCAGTTATGCCATCAGGGCCACACCAAGCACCCCAATTATTGTTAAATGAAATCACAGATGTAACAGCAGGAAGGACTAGCCTGAGCCAGAGC